ACGATACTGGATCTAAGACTCAGATGTATAGGAAACTAGTAAGGGCGCTCATTTTTCCCATAGCCACACATGCATCCGAAACGTGGACCTTAAAGAAAGCGGATAAAAATAAACTGGACGCTTTTGAAATGTGGGTATACCGCCGCATGTTGAGAATATCCTGTATTGATCATCGCACTAACGTATCGATACTAGAACAACTTAAAGTAAAGGATAGATTGCTTAAACAAATATAAATACAACAGAGATATTTGCAGTATTTTTGGACACATTGCTAGAAGAACAGGCACGATGAACAAAACTGATAGTCGAGGGTAGAGTTGAAGGAAAAAACCTAGGGGAAGATCTCCAAGCCGTTGGGTAGATCAAACAAAAATATTGATTAACCAAGGGTTACATGAAGCCAAACAACTAGCCCAAGACAGAGAAGGATGGATGGAAATCCTAAAAAAACTGTGAAGGCCTGATGGTGTCACCACATCCCAAAAGGGATTGGGACTGAGGAGGAGGAGTATAGAAAACTAACACACATCATCAAATATCTTAACCATAAATCAAATCATAATGTCAATATTAAAAAGAAAATCATTAAATCCTTATACGATAAAGCCAAATTTACTGGTTCTAACAAAAACTCGTTCTTGGAAGAGAAACGTAATATATTATGTTAACATCTGTCTTATTAAAAAATGATTATCCTTTGTCATTTGTAACTGGGGAATTTTTAAGAATTGGCGAGATTAGAACGAGATAGCATCCACAAGGGATAATACGAGGAAAAAAACAATACCGATATCAGAATAAATACAGAAAAGCTTAAAACGATAGGATATAAATTCAACATTTTAATACCATTCAAAACAACAAACACATTTACATTTATTTCATCTAAAACTAGACGAAACAATTAATTTTTGTTTGGAAACAAAAGAATTGTATTTAGAAATACAAAGAATTGTACTTACAAAATACCTTGTGAATGCGATCAGTTTTATTTAGCTGAAACATCAAGACCATTAAATGTTAGAATAAGTGAACATACATCTTATATTAAATATTGAGAATTTGATAGATTTCAAATATGTAAACATGTATGGGAAAATTAACATAGGGTTAAATGGAAAGATTCAAGCATAGTCCTAAAAGAAACAGATGGTTAAAAGATATAAATCAAAGAAGCGGCTCTAATTATGCTAAATGAGACCGATTACATCGAAAAATCCTAGGCAAAATGCAGTTGGATCTGGTTACCCATATTAAAAGATGACATCAATAAAAAGAAAATACCACTATATAAGGTTTTTTTTATTTTTTCCTCTTGATATACTATGAAGTCACTAACAGTGACATTTTACTGTCATCATTGCATTTGGTTGCCTTTTTAAAGATGAATCACATGTTATGATTTTTCTGAAGGATATTCTAAAGTTAACGTTGATTTCGTGTAATCAAATAAATTATTTTATAATAAAGTCGTCCCAGGAACGCAACTCAGCAGTATTGATCGTCTCCTTTAAAATGTATGATCTATGTCTGAATTATCAATATAAATAAATAAGGTAAAATTAAATTAGTAGAAACAGCAAGTAAACAAAATTTGTTTAATTTATTAATATTTTGTATTTTGAGACAATTTCCGAGTGGAAATTGAAACGTCAAAAATAAAATTAATGGATATGAGGTTGAATGCTCGAATAAATGAACTTTGAAAATTAAGGCAATTATGTCGAGCACAAGTTTAATCAAATCTTGCCCAAGTACTTTCGCATAATCTAGCATCTTTAGGGGCATTTCGTCAAATATGGGCTATCCAGCAAGCGTAGAATGTGATAAATATGGATGTTAACATAAAATTGTACAAACACTACACTAAAACAAGGACAAACAGTTTAAAATTAATTAAAATTAAATTATTTTAAAACTTAGATTGGGGCTTATTCCCAATAAAAATAGTAAAAGCTTATAGATCTCTAATTTTATGTCCGTAGTGTCACTTTTTTTATGTGTCAGGATCATTGGTATAACATTACAGATTTTTGGTAAGCAGTCACTGTATAGGCATAAATTAAAAAGCATTTTGATTAATGTAATAAGGGGTGAACACCAATTTTTAGTGCTTATGTGACTATTTGATCTTCGCCTCATGATTTTTTTTTTTTTTTTTTTTGATAAGTTTAATGATTTTTTAATTTTGATTCATAATCCCCTTGATTCTGCTTCGAATTGGTATTTGTTTCCACATTAATACCGACTTAAGTAATTAAATAAGGTCTATCTATCTATCTATACAGCCCTTGCTGTCCAATTTTGGACATAGGCCAACTCTTCAGTCTTCCACGTCTCTCTATTGTAGGCAGTTTGAATCCACCTCGGGCCTGCGTGTTTCTTCAAGTCATCTTACCATCTCATTTGTGGCCTTCCCTTTAACTGTATGGTCTCCAGTGTATAATCATCTTATCCCATCTGTCGTCTTTCTGTCTTATGGTATGTCCAGCGAACTTCCACTTAGCTTTGCTATCTGCGTTGATACATCGGTCACTTTTGTTTTGTTGCGGATCCAAGTATTTATTTTCTTGTCTGATAACCTGATGTTCAGCATTTGCCTTTCCATGGTTCTTTGGGTCTTTGCTATTTTTCCATGTTTTCCTTTGTAAACGGCCAAGTTTGAGAACCGTAGGTAAGAACAGGAAGTATACATTGGTTGAAGACTTTGGTTTTTAAATATTGGGGATATTTTCTATTTTTTGGTATACTAAAAAAAATTAAATTAGTACCTACTGAAAATACGGATCAACGATGTTAATAGAATAGCAATATGTGAATGCGAGTTATTAAGGAAGAACGTTTCCAAAAAATTGTGTTTACAACAGTTGTGTATATGATCTTATTTTCTGTCTTTCACTTTGTCTGAAATTATGCTTGCACTTTTTTATAAGCTCCAATTAAAGAAAAGCATATCGTAAGTAGTGTTACTATGTGAGTATGACTACCCGCATTGAGAAAATCAATGGGAGACCTACAGAATAGTGCAATGTTACGTTAGGCACAGTTCTTCTTATTTTTCGTCTGTCATCTGTCAACGCCAATTCTTCGTTTTGTTTTTCATCTGTCAATGTCAATTTTTCTTTATCGTTTGTGATCTGTCAACATCAAGTCTTCTTCTTTTTCGAATTTCAAGCTATCTATCAATTCTTCTTTTCAGTCTGTCAAGTTTTCTTCTTTTTCAACTGTCTAGTGATCGCAGCAAAAACTTTTAGATAGTATTATGATATCAATATACTATTATATCTTACTTAAGTCTATCTCAGGTAACTCACGATAAGTACCTTAAAGTAGTTCTTAAACTTAAAAAATGGATACCGATAAATGGAAAACTTTTATCAGTAGGGTATCATTAAATGCATTAAAGAATTGAAATCCATCTTTTTTAACGATAAAAATTTATTTAAAATTTAGTAAAAAATGTTCATGATTTGTAAATCGATTTCCCTTTAATATAGCTCCATATTTAAACATTTATTCTTTTTAGACTGACACCAGTATATGCTATAGTTATATTTTACTATGCGACATTATTTAAATATGTTGGAAGTGGTCCAATGTGGAAGACGATTGTTAACGGCGAAGTAAACGACTGTAGACAAAATTGGTGGACAAACATCTTATATATCAGCAATTATGTTAATCCTGAGCAAATGGTAAGAATTAATTTAAATATTTCTTAATAGTTTTATTTAAGATTTATCGTTTTATATGATATTGGATACCACTGGAATCTTCCCAGAAGACTGGGAAAAGAAAACCTGAGAGACAATCAGTTTGAATTCCGTATAAGGTTTGGTACAAGAGAGGCATTATTTGGCCTCCAGATATTATTACAAAAATGCCGAGATCAGCGAAAAGACGTATTTCTTTTTTTTTAGAAAAAGACGTTTTATCGACTACGAAAAAGCGTTTGATCGAGTAAAACACACAGAACTCATAGAAACCCTAACACAACATGGTATAGACCATAACACTGTAGCACTTATTAAACAACTATATTGGGATCAAATGGCGTCTATCAAAATAGACATTCGTCTGACAGCATAATTGCCAATAAAAAGAGAAGTTCGTCAGGGCTGTGTACTTTCTTCACTGTTATTTAATATATATTCCGAAAAGATCTTTCAAAATGCCCTCGAAACTCTAATATGGTACGTGACGAAGAAAAAGCAGCAAAAGGGAAGAAAATCACTTATCATATCAGCATCATAGCAGCATCATATCATCTTGTCTCATTCCTGTATTCATTCCGCATTCGCTTTAATTTATTTATTCTCTCTTCCAACTCTACTGGTTGTACTCTTCTTAACCTCTTACCCTCCCTTCTTACTCTAATGCACTTTGTCCTCAAATTTTCAAGTTTCTCGTTTCACCAGTATGCTTGTTTTCTTTCATACCTCCTATTTAATCTTACTTTTTTTTATTATATTACATTTGATTTTAGATCTAAACTAACATAAAGCTTTACATTAGTTTGTATTAAATTTTACCTTAAAAATAGTATTAAAATTAATTATGAATTATATTATATAATTAATGCAGTATTATTAATTAAACGTGTCGTTTTAAGAACAAAATATGATTGAAATATGGTAATTCATATTTCTTTCCTAGATGACGCCATTACCTTACTGGACAAACGGTGTGACCTGTCATCGTAGCCTTTTATATAGACAGATTTACTAAAGAACTAAAAAGATACAAAATATACTAGCGTTCTTTTAAATTGGCCATATTGAAAAGTTGCACTATAACGTTTGAATTTTTTTAGCTAACGTGTGGCTAGAACTAACTGCTCACTATGTAAACTCATAAAAGAGTGGGTACTCTAGCACACCGAGTTTTTTAGCCAAAAACCACAAAAAATAAATACTATATGTTTAAAAGTGTATATACTATACCATTAATCAAATAAGTAAATATCTATCACAAAAATATATATTTATATTTTTCAGTGCATGGTACATTCTTGGTACCTTCCATGCGATTTCCATTACTTCATGGTGGCAGTAATTTTATGTATAGTAATATACAAAAACAAGAAAATGGGCCTAATACTTCTCTCTTTCGTAACCATGGCCGCTATTATAACTCCGTTCGCTATAGTTTGGTATTACCAGAAATCTGCTGTGTTGTTCTTTTATCCTGATTTCCTGAGGCAACCAAAACAACAGGAAGATTTCCTCTTAACTTATTCCAAGTCACACACAAGAGCGTCACCATACTTTATTGGAATGATTGCCGGATATCTGTACTACAGGATGAGAGGATCTGAAAAATGTCTAAAAAAGGTAAGTTGATATTTATTATTACTGCTGACTAAATTGAAGAATAAAAATCCGGATAGAAAATGTTCGCAAAAGTTTCCGCGGTCGATAAATAAAATCACCAAGTTCTCGGGAAGAACCGCGTTGAGAGTTTAAAGCTCGACGTTTCGGCACCCATTTTGTGTTCTGTATAAATACCAATCCAAAAAATATCCCCGAATAAACCCAAATCTACAGAAGCATCCAAAAGCATCTAAACTCCATTCCATCTAAAAAGAAACCTTACCGCCGGATCAACCCGAAATCTTTCTATCTTTTATTAAAGGTATCACTGATCAGTAGAACTCTTATCCCTCTAAACATCAAAACCATCTTCACTACTCACTTTAACTTGTCCAATCTCGTCAAATCCGTAAAAGACCAAATCCCCAATGAAGACCATGGTGTCTACGAAATACCTTGTTCCAGTTGCCCACGTTCATACATAGGACAGATAAATTGACGATTCCATAACCGCATTTACGAACATTCTTTATCAGTCAAACATTCCGATACTACTTTAATCCTAGCCCAACATCATATTCAAAAAGGTCACAAAATAGATTAGGAAAAAACAAAAACCATCACTCCCATCCGCTCCTTAAAATCGAGAATCATTCGTGAAGTCATCGAAATTGAAAAACGGCCCAACAGCTTAAATACGCGCTATGACGCTAAACGTCTACGTCTACCGTCAACATGGCGACCACTACTTCAGCAACCCCTCACCCCAACCCACACCGCTCAGGCCACGTCAGCTCAGACCAACGTCAGCGCATACCGTTCCCGCGCATACTGATAGTATAAAAGCGAGTTGAACACGATACTGGTACGTTTCGAGTGAGAGGAGTAGGCAGATTGAGACCCCGAACTCAAACGGAACCGTGTCATCACTCTTGAAAATTGCTCCAAAATGGGTGCCGTAACGTCGAGCTTTGAGTCCTTAACTTGACAAGCACAGTGGGCATTCTGATTATTTTATTATTCTGTGCCTTAGATCAGAGTGATTATATTAGAGGATTTTTCATTTTTGCAGAAATACATTCCATACAATGTTTTAAAGGTTTTTGAATGTAATAAAGGGTATTAACAATTAAATAATTACAACTAAATTACTATAAACTTTAATTAAATAATTAAATTAATACATAAATAAATTCAATAAACAATTAACATACAAGTGGTACTTGTTTTGATTTTTTTTTTGTGATGATAATTGAATTAATGTAAACAAATCATTTTTGTGGTAACGTTTATAAACAAACCGTTCAATTGTTGAGAAAACTAAATCAAACAGAAAATGTAGGCAATTTTATTAAAATTATAATATCTGGATTTTTGGAGATAATTTAATTACTGTAATTTGAAATATATATATTTGTAATTTTAAAACATTTTACAATGTGCTAAAGTGTAAAACAAAAGTGCTAATGTATTTCTCTGATTTTATCCACTCTGTACGCAACCATTAAAGGTATCCTCGCTCATCGTGTCCTAGAAACAGAAATAATTTTATACAGTTAAATCTACATAGGTAAATTATTGTTGTCTACTTCCTCATTTCATTTTCTTTGGTACATAATGAGGTAATAGGTTTGTCAATTAAACCACATAAACTCATTAAGACAAAGATATTATAATTGTAATAAAAATAAAATAATTTTTGGTTGTAGAAAAGATCATTAATTGTGTGAAAAGTAAAAATAATATTTTTAAACAATATTATAGAATAAAGGATCTATCGTTTTACACGTACAAGGACATGGAGGTTAAAAGACTTTTTAGGTTTGAGCACCAGTTTTGTTTACCGTCTTGTATCTTTTGTCAATTTCTGACTAAGTTCACCGTATTCGGTTAGTGAATAATGTGCATCTATATTATCTTAACTGATTTAATTTGTCTTGGCGGGGGCAATACATGTTCTTTTTCTGTTTAATGACCTCCATGTTTTCTAGTTAAGGCATGTGCCGCCAGGTTTATTTTGACGGGTAGTCGTAAGGTCTCTAGTGAGATTGTCTTCAGGAAGCCTTTCCATCCTTCTTGTTTCCTTGGATATGTGATTTCATCGTCAGTACTGGCACTGGCACCGGGAAAAAGAAAAACAATACAAGAATTTCCCATACCAAGAAAGAAACACTATGTCCGAAGTTTCCTTACCATTTACAGTTACTACTGTCACGTGTCACTTTATAAAAGCTTTCTTAAAGATTTTCAAACCTTTCCATAACCTAGATGAGAAGAATCTGTCAATTTGACTGAACGCCAAACTGCCAGCTTGCCTTCACTACAATCAAACATAAATTGACAATGGGTCCAATATTGGCAAATCCTAAAAAACAGTATTTTTTCGTGCTTCATACGGATACTCCTCAAAATAGCAAAGGGGTGGTGTTTTCCCAAATACACAAGAGTATAGAACACGTCATAGGATACTCCCAAGATACAAAGAAAAACTCTGGGAAACATAAAGAAACAACTGTGTCACCAGGAAGAAGTTATTGGCGGTCAATAAAGCAGTAGAACACTACTAATCTTTCCTCTATTGCAGAAGATTCTTGATAATAATCGACCATTCTGCCTTGCAATGGCTCCTCAATTTCATAATACCTAAAGGCCAGATCGCTGGAGAAACTACAGGCCATGTAAAGAGAGGAACTGCTGACTCTGCGAGCACCAAGAAGAACGAGATGGTCAGATTCTACTGAACAAAACCATATAGGGTGAAAGTGACGAAAAAGCTCTAACCAAAAAAAATCACCAGGACGAACAAAAGAAAGGTCTAGATCTAATGATTGTCCGTAACCGTCTGAAAAATGCAGCTAGTTCATAGTGCTGTATGTATATGCATAATGGACAATGAAGGGCTGTTGGCTTCAGTGGGACTCCTTGTGTTAGCGAGATGACGTCATTACTCGTAAATAAAAGAGTCTAGATAGAAGAAGAACAGTACCTTAAGTTGTTCTCCCAATGATATATATTAACGACGTGCTTGCAAAACTCCATGATAGCGGTATTTTGGGATCAATTTAACACTGGCTAGAGTCCCTGAGAGATTTAATTATCGACAAGACGTGGAAAAATATTGTAAAGGATGTAACCTGTGTGCATTCAAGAATTTACCCAAAAGGGGAGTCTTCTCTAAAGGAGTTTGAGAGAAAACTCAAACAATATATCACCAAGACTTCCTGAAAACAAGTTTCTGTTGATATGCACGCCATATAATTTTGGCGTGGCCAACTAGCTTCTGTTGCTGTTATCAGCTGATCTTAATTACTGTTATACTCTGTATCTCAAGTTAAGTAGAGTTCTGATTGTTCTTTTTTGTAATATAAAAACTGGGCAGTTATTGGAGATTACTGTTACGAATGAGTTATCATTCCATCTAGCTACAGATACTATAGCTTCTTTGTCAAAAACGAAGTCGAACGACCTCCTATCTATTTTAGCGATAATTTTAGATGTTTCCAGTGGACACTTTTCAATCCTGTTTTCTCGCACTGTGCCAGTTGCATAAATTCCCTTTTCTTTCAATATTGCGAAGAGCTTATACGATGAAAATAAGTTGTCAAAAAATACCCTGTGATTAGACGGGTCTCTACAACACTTAGTAATGTTAATACTATATCAGCACCCAAGCCTAAATCTGATTTTGTTGTGCTAGCACCACCGTAAGGGATAAACTGGAATCCATCAGATGAACAGAGGCACAGCAACTTATACCCAAAACGCACACGTTTTCCCTTTAAAAACATTTTTGCAGAGTGCCTTCCAAAATATGGTACCATTTCTTCGTCGATAGGTAAATTATATGCGAAAATACCAAATTGCAGGAATTTTTGATTTATTTTGTTGAAAAAGGGCGAAGTTTTGAAAATTTATCATTTTTTTGCAACACCGTATTATCATTTACGTGAATATCCTTTTTGATACGCCGAAATTGATTTCTTCTCAAGCAGTTCCTAATGAATATCACGTGTTTATCCTGGTCCTTGCTCCAGTACATATCCATTTGTGGCAAGGTGTGATATCCTGTAAGAATGAGTATGCCCAAAAACCTTTTCAGTGATGCATTTGTCAAATAAAAATCGTGACAGTTATTATCGTGAGCATATTTTATAGTAAAATTAACAATAAGGTTGTAAACTTCATCATCGAAGAAGAGCTGGAAACATTCGTAAGGGGTTTTTCCGGCGACACGGTTCTCAATTTCTATCCCTTTTTCAATTTCATGTGATTGTGATGCTGATGAAAATGTCGGATCAGTTTTTGTAAACTATTTTGGAGTTGTCACTCTATATCGTTTACGTTTTTTATACGAGTTACTTGTTATTCGTTCGATATCGAATGACTCTCTAGGAATCTCTACAAAGCCGGCAACTTTAACTTTACTTGTGGAAGGATCCACAAGGACGGTATCTTTAGCAGAAATTTCAAATGTACCGACAATCTCTCGAATCTCATTGTCACCTACAACGTCACGTAATAGATGATATGAAACTAAAAAATAGTAAATAGCTTACCTGTTACAGCATCCTCATCAATCATTTCTTCATCTGTCAATTCGTCACAGTCCGGAGGTATTATAGTTATTTCTGCAACCCCATCATCAATATCACTGAGATTCTCCAATTCGGCTTCTAATTCCAATAAAGTTAGGGCCCTTTTAGGGTTATTTTTCAAAATCGACATATTTATTGTCTACAACACTACACAACCTTCCAACCCCAGATTATAACAAAACTGAATACCAGAATACCCGTTTTTCTAAAGGCCGTATGACACTATGTATTTTCTTGTATCATTTCTTATATCGTTTCTGATATAACAAAAAAGTGGATAGTGTCATACAAGTGTATAGTTTCTTATATCAGAAACGATACAAGAATTTGTGTCCGCTGCATTTTCTTGTACAAGAAATGCGCCAATTTGTGCGCAAAGTCGCAAAAACGTAAAACTTCTGTCTTCTGTCATATTGGAGGCTGGAG